AAGCATAATTATTCATTTTGGCTCTATGAAAGATATGCTTGTTGACAATCCGCATTTGTAAGCATTATTATTCATTTTGGCTCTATGAAAGATATGCTTCTTGACACTCCGCAATTGTAAGCATTATTATTCATTTTGGCTCTATGAAAGATATGCTTGTTGACAATCCGCAATTGTAAGCATTATTATTCATTTTGGCTCTATGAAAGATATGCTTGTTGACAATCCGCAATTGTAAGCATTATTATTCATTTTGGCTCTATGAAAGATATGCTTGTTGACAATCCGCATTTGTAAGCATTATTATTCATTTTGGCTCTATGAAAGATGTGCTTTGTTGACAAATCCGCAATATAAAACTTTATTAGTTATATTTGCTCTTTGAAAGATATGCTTTGTTGACAAATCTGCAATATTAAACTTTATTAGTTATATTTGCTCTTGGAAAGATGTGCTTTGTTGACAAATCCGCAATATAAAACTTTATTAGTTATATTTGCTCTTTGAAAGATATGCTTTGTTGACAAATCCGCAATATTAAACTTTATTAGTTATATTTGCTCTATGAAAGATATGCTTTGTTGACAAATCCGCAATATTAAACTTTATTAGTTATATTTGCTCTATGAAAGATATGCTTTGTTGACAAATCCGCAATATAAAACTTTATTAGTTATATTTGCTCTTTGAAAGATATGCTTTGTTGACAAATCCGCAATATTAAACTTTATTAGTTATATTTGCTCTATGAAAGATATGCTTTGTTGACAAATCCGCAATATAAAACTTTATTAGTTATATTGGATCTATGAAAGATATGCTTTGTTGACAAATCCGCAATATTAAACTTTATTAGTTATATTTGCTCTTGGAAAGATGTGCTTTGTTGACAAATCCGCAATATAAAACTTTATTAGTTATATTGGCTCTTTGAAAGATCCGCAATATTAAACTTTATTAGTTATATTTGCTCTTTGAAAGATCTGCAATATTAAACTTTATTAGTTATATTTGCTCTTTGAAAGATATGCTTTGTTGACAAATCCGCAATATTAAACTTTATTAGTTATATTTGCTCTATGAAAGATATGCTTTGTTGACAAATCCGCAATATAAAACTTTATTAGTTATATTTGCTCTTTGAAAGATCCGCAATATTAAACTTTATTAGTTATATTTGCTCTTTGAAAGATCCGCAATATTAAACTTTATTAGTTATATTTGCTCTTTGAAAGATCTGCAATATTAAACTTTATTAGCTATATTTGCTCTATGAAAGATATGCTTTGTTGACAAATCCGCAATATAAAACTTTATTAGTTATATTTGCTCTTTGAAAGATCCGCAATATTAAACTTTATTAGTTATATTTGCTCTTTGAAAGATCCGCAATATTAAACTTTATTAGTTATATTTGCTCTTTGAAAGATCCGCAATATTAAACTTTATTAGTTATGTAGGCTTTCTAAAAGATAATATTGCTTTGTTGACCCATCCGCATATTAAACATTATTATTGGACTCTATGTCTTGTTGACAATGGGAAATATCAGTTAACGATGGTCTTTCAAGCACAATGAGACGACCGATATACCCATGTCCAGTTCAACAGCTGACATAACCAATGTTAAAGTTACTACCAATTATTTTCCGGTATCGATACTATTCATATTTGTGAAAATTCCAAAATGAAAAACTTGCGAAAAAATTTGTGTATTGGAAAATCAGAACAGGGATGAAGAGACAACTCGACTGTTAAATTTTTAAAAAGGTACAATGATGTAACCACGTGAACCCTACTCATTGTAATTTATCAAAGTGTTCACGATTTCTTTGTAGAAGAGACAATATTTGCTTTGAGGTAAAAAAAAAAAGGACAAAACGCTTTTCTAGCTGCCGCCCTTCTTGTACCAACCCGTACCAGGTCTTACAGTATTTTATATTGCATATCATTGTTTAGCTGTGTAAACATAATATACGTCCAGTATCAACGAAGGATTAGTACATGGTCAGACTGTGTTATCGTAGATTACTGCTCAGTTGAATTTGCTGGACAACCACTTGTCATGTGCATATATATTGTGGTATTTGCTATAACGGTCTACTTGAAGTGTTTAATTAAAGTTTTAATATAGAAACTATTTGCTAATAGGTGTGAAATATGCTAAATAAGGAACAGCCGGAATTATTAATAAGTGTACCAAATACATCTTAACTTAAGTGGAAGACGTGGATAAAATTGAATGAGATATACAAAACGCTGGCATGATCACTTGTGATATAAAGGACGGTTTGATTAATATGAAAATATTGTTCCATTGGCATTGCTAAGCTCTTCAGTAAACCAATGTTATATACCATAATAGCTGGACAGATTAACAAAAAAGCATCCCAACAAGACAAACGTAGAGTGATATCAGAAGAATTATTAATGTCTGAGATTCTATGAACCAGTGGTCAAATATATAAACATGATAGGAATATTTAAAAGTATGGACACAGTACTATTATGTATGATGTTTATCGTCAGTAATGTTTCAGCGGATATTAAATCTATAAGGATAAAATTTCAGAATCAGTCAGAAATACAAAATTTTCTCCTGGATATCCAACCATCCAAAATATCTGGAACTATTGACAATGTACCTTGTTCCCCTGTTGACACTACTGGATGTGATGTATCGTGTGAAAAACGACTAGACTGTGGTCAGGCTGTAATAGAGTTCGATATAGCACTGAAAGACGACAAGTTTGTTGTTACATCGCTCGCAGCCTTTACTTCAACCATTGTTTTAGTAATTGCACTGCTTGTCGTGACTGTATATTGCTTATGTCGAAAATCAAAACAAATAAAAGCAGCCAAAATGAAAGGAAGTTCGCCAGTTAATCCTGTTGGTTCCAAGCTGCATGAAAGAAAAGGAATTCCCAAGCCTAAAGGAAATTTGGCAAATTTAAAAGTAGAGCGTCTTGAGGGGAAAGAAAACGAACATGTGTATTGCTACATCAATGAAGGTACTGCTGTGTCTTATTAGTTGGAATGAAAGTGGAAGTAATCTGCAACTAGTATTGGGTGACTTTCTTATAACTTAGGACCGTTGTCTCTTGGAAGAAATCTTTTGTTAAACATTTTGTTGAAATGTTGATGAGTTTTCATGCACATCTTCTGTTTGTCATAAAGGTATATGATGTAAAATGTGATATCACGTGTTGCTTACTTCATTGATTTTGGCATCTTTATGTCATTGATTGCGATTTGGTTAGGTACATATTTTCTAATTTCTCTTTGTGATTAGTGAGTAAAACAGACGCGTTTATCGACCATGAAACTCTGGCATCATCCTACGATTAACTTGGTAGATTCATGATAATAGTTGCATCAGACCATGTGTAGTTAATAAATTTGATGGATTATGATACAATATATTTCATTAAACATCACGGGATATTCTGTCAAAGCCAAATTTGAAAGACGATATGGTGAAAAACATTTCAAACAAACAAAAACCACTTACACCGTCAGCGAAGGCAAACTGGATATTGTCCACCGTACTGTATGTAGAATAGTTGATAGGTTTATCATTCATAAAACTGATAGCTCCAGCATCTCTATAATCATCTGATTGGAATTCCGAAAACCAGACATCATAAACATACACTGAACTGTCGTAAAATCTGATACCTCGAATTGTCTGACCCCTGGAGACAGAAAAATATAAAAATATGTTTTCATACTAGAAAGCGTCCAATTCCAAATTGTATCCAATAACAGCTATGTCTTCTCTTAAAACACAGTGTGATAACTGTACTCGTGTTTATATAAATACCTTACGATCAAAAGTGTCTATAATAGCGTCTAGTATTTTTTCAAAAATATGATCAACAATGATCACAAGATTGTTTGTGAATTGAGTCTTTCCAGAAGTTTGTGAAATAGGAACGTTTTCCATAAGGAAAAATGTGCAGAAATATATACAGGAAATAATTTCGCGAAAACGCAATGCAATAAGGCATAGGATTTGCTCTGGAAATATTTCAGAGGTATGTGTTTACTAACAAAATGTTCAGATATTATAAAGGTATATGTATTCTACTACGCTTAATGGTATGTTAACTTATAAATTCTCTATGAAGCTCTATGTAGTAGAACACGGTTAAGGATGTGGTTTACTTACACATGTTCAGGCATGGGGAAGGCTCTATGTAAGGTAACAACTTGATCCTCCTCCCAGTAGCTAGTGGGTTCTCCTATATTCCTTGTTTCACCAATAATGACAGAATCACGTATATACTGTACTTGATCTGTAGACCTTTTACACAGACATAGTTTAATACATTTCTATCATTATTCAGATGCGCCATTTGACTAATCATACTTTTGTCTCAGAAACAGGATTTTTTTTTAGCTAAGACAATCAGTAAAATAGTGTTCACAGCATCGAGTCGAAATTTTAGCCTTTAAATCCATTGTGTCCATTATCCGCGTTTTAATGCTAAAATGACGACTCATAAATACTCTGTGATATATAGAAAAGATATATATAGAACTTCTATTTCTAGTACTTCTGAAGATTGTTAACATATTATATTTAAAACTAAAATCAACCGCCAATATGCCGCATCTAACCCTTTAAGATACTGTAATATTTACTCAATAAATTAAACTCATTTGTTAAATATAGTAAATAGAATCTGAATGACATAACAACCTTGTATTCATGTGTAAATACATCCTTAATTTTCATTGTATTTTCTAGTGGAAATTTTAAGCTACCGCAAACATGGAAATTAATTATTGTTTGAATTCGTTCTCTTGTAATAAAGACTGGGTGAAAAGGGTAAAATAATACGTAAAACTTATCTTTTCAAACGAAAAACTTATATATTTGCGAGTACACTTCATGTACCAGTGTTCAAATAGATTTATATGAATATCAAACTAAAATCTACTATTTCTCACCTAGCAAATGTGATACCATTGGCACTATCTGCAAACCTAAAATTAAGAAAATAATAATTCTCAACAATTTTTTATTTTGAAACGGAAAGTAGTTCAAGGATTGGGCATACTATGCTGGCGAATCCACTAAACAGTTTACTAAAACGGATGACCCTTACAATTGGTGTACAGTGGTACTATGGTGTTTATGATCATATTGTAGTGACGGCGCCAGCCTCTTGAAACTGGTGACAAAAGTAGTGGCAGACTTAGCGGGACAAGTGTCGGGGTAGAGATTCCGAATGCGAAAGCGCTTTGGAGGTTAAACCACAAAATAATTTTGTACATGCTAATACATATTTCGGGTACAATATGATTTTCACTTGAAGGAAATGCTACTAAGCCTTGTCGTCAAACCGGTATGACAAAATGTGAACTATCCAATATTCAAAAAAACATACGAAATTATCTCGGTTTACTTACGATCCCTGAACGACATTAAAACCACCTCCTCTTATCCACGCATTCTGATATCTATTCTTATATACTGTAAAAAATAAATAAATACACATTTATTTCACTTCCATATTATACATTGTTTCCAAGTCTCTTTTGTGTAATGGACCTTATTCTGAACCATGGAAAATAAAGAAATTATTATCGTAGTATCTTACTTCCCGATATAGGAAGCTGAAACCTTAACCCTAAAAGTTGAAATTTACTCATAACTTTTTCTCAAAATAATATATACTCCTTAACAATGGACGTTTTAATTTTTGATCGAACCTCTTGTCGTTCTTATTCCAACAGGTTTGACCTAGAAAGGACCTAACTGTGAACTTGTTATTCTTGTAAAATATAACTGTGAACCTAAGTTGTTATTCCTGTAAAATATAGTTTTTTTCTTTCTTTTCCTTACTTGATTTACCAATGATAGAGGCATTTTCCATGAAAAAAAGTTCATACTTCACGTTTCAGGTTGTATAGTGGGAAGACTGACTTTAAACATTTTTTCATAAACACGGGTGTAGTTCGTGTAACAATAAGTGCTATAGATGGTTTGTTCAGGTTACAGGTTGTAAAGCGGTAAGATTGACTTACATGTTGGCTTTATGATATCGACAGTAACAGTACGAGAGCTCGGATCAAAAGGATCTTCTCGTGGTGAGTAACCATTCTCACCACCAACTGTATCATCGGGATTCACTATCTCATCAATGTACAAACCGGCCTGCAAATATATCGAAAGTGCCGATCTTGGGGACTAAATTAGTCATATAAATGAGAGTCGATTCATCATACTGTACAATTCTAATACTCAGCAAAAAATTGAGTTTCCGTTGGCCTTTATTTTGCTGTGCTGGATATTGTCAAAATACTCATTATCTGTACAATTAATCATAATATTCTATACATAACATTCCTAGTGTATTTGCACATGGCGTACACTAAACAACAATTGAATTCATTCAGTACATGTAGAGTATGATATCATTTGAAAGCAAGATTGTTTACTCAGAATCATTCACAATGTTAATTTCTTTTTCTTAAACGAATACGCTTCTGAATTAACTGGGCGAATATCCCCACCTCAACCCTTTCAATCTCGAATCTGTCACGATTACATACTGCCCGGTACAGCAAGCATCGTCGGTCAATTATATTCCTTAATAGGCATACTGCACAGTAAAAGTATGAATGTGTTATTTAGACTGAGTCATCTAATAGTGAGTCTGTACCCACAATTTGGTGACAGACATTCTTGAAATATTCTATATTGCTTACAGGACTTTCATATAGTTCCACTTTGATGTGCATAATGAACATTAACTAGTAAACAATTACTCTTAACCCGGTCAATTGAAGGATTAATTAAATACACGATAACCGCTAATTATCCTGATAACTTTGAATACTTACAAAAGGATTTGAATGAGCCACATTATTTCTCCATTCATTATAGGCTGTATGTTTGGCCTCGTATCGCTCCATGAACCCGGGGAGACCGACTGTTAAACCAACTGGTTCGTCAGGGAAGATATGCCATATACCTACATACTGTATAAAATAGTTTTTTTAAGGTTTATACTGCAATTTATACTTTTTAAAAAACAGTAATCGCTGACTAAAGGGACATACATACATTTATAAATAAACAAACTTTTTATCAATAGCATATTTAAGGCGAACAAAAACCATAAAAATTTAACAGAGTTACGTCCCCTATTACCAAAAAAACCCCAAAAAACCAAATAGGAAATTGCGTGTAAAGAGAGGTAACCTGTGAACAGTGCACTACTCGTAATGTTACCTCTGAAACCTACAGGTTATATAGTTATTAATCATGTCCAAACCTCCGTTTCGCGAAAGATTTTCATCATAGATGTCATCAAGATATTCTGAGAAAGTTGGCCTGAATCGTTAGCGTATATGTTAGCTTGTATAATGCTGATATACTTTAAATCATTTGTATTGAGTTGAGTTACTATTTAATATGATGTAAAATATATACCTCTGATCCTGCAGCTACATTATTCCGTAAATATGTTAGAGGATTTGTGATCCAAAACGTTGAGGGTTTACTGAAAATGTGAGAAAGTTTCATGTAGAAAGATCCTAAGAGATGTATTTAATAAAGATACATCGTTCCTCGAAGATCACTGTATTCACATTTAAGTGTGTAAGATTGTCTAATTGAGAAAATAGCGTACAGAACATATTATTTAGTAGGAACAAAAATGTATTACCTATCTGAAGGAATGAGTCCAGCTTTCCTAGTTGAGAATCCAATATTACCATCTAACACCGTTCTCATCTCACCCCCATCTTCCAGAAAATAACAATGACCCAATGAATCATATCCTACATTTCTTTTCAGCTGAATAATATAATTTAAATATTACTTTTCAACAGCTTAGTTTAAGATCGTTAATAACAGTGTTACGAGAACAATGAATAGCGGGTTTTCTCAGCTAAACTAATTCTCAATACACATCATAATGATCTAATTTCCTTTTAGATACAAACCTTAAGGTGAACTCGGGTCGACCTTGCACCAGGCAAAATCCGGGAGATTTTCAATGACTGCTACCAACTGATGGCATTGGAGATAACAGATCAGTCAACAGATTTGATAGGAAGCATAATCTTTTATCTAAAATCTTCCATTTTTGCACATTAGTTTGCAAACGTGGACATGTGTTTTGGTGTAAGTATTAAGATATTAAACCTACCGTGATGCCATGTGTACCATGTATAGTATAACATCTAGCGTATGATTTATGTACACTATTGTCTTTGAGATATGGTGGGTGTTCTCTATCACCTGTTTCATAGGCCATGTGGAAATGTAGTGGATAGGTTCCTAGAAAATACAACTATACCGAAATCGGGATTGAAAAACAAATAATAATTCTGAGTTTGTCTGGTAAATTAGTGAATTACATTCTCGATAACCTACTTCCATTAACTTTGTCATTTGTCATGGTTTCAATAAAATAAAAAGAACAAAATTGAAATCAACACAACGAAAATGGTACAATAACAAGATTCAGATTGAACATAGCTATCATGAAACGTTGCTGGCAGCAATGAACATCAGTTAATGTTGTTTTGGTGTTACTAAATTAAGATAGTATTACCTAATCCAGTTTGCTGTCCCATATGATACAATTCTACACCTTCTACATGTACATCTCTAAACCCTCTTACAAACTGTAATAGATAATACGGTTTTTTAGAAATAACATCCAAGCAATCCTATAACATTATCTCTATTACCGTACTGAAAAATGGACAACGGCTCAGTTGTTGGAAATAGCAGGATTCACAAGAGGTTTCTAGCCAGCATTCATAGAAATTGAATGGTAAATCGGAAAAAACTTCAGGTCATGCAGAGAATGAACAATGTGAGGTGCGTGGCCAACTTCCAGAACGCTGAGAAAAAAGATGCTTATATACAACGATGACGGTTTCCTGCCCTATGATTAGCTGCACGCCTCAATAAAACGGATTTTACAAAATGTTTCCCTTTCAATCACCTGTCGATGGTGACTTGAATAGTCCAAAAGAAAACAACATGGCACAAAACTTTATTGAAAGGAGGGCATGGTTAGACAACAAATAATTACCTTGATATGTCCACCAAACGTATCATAATTAAACTTGTCACAGTTGTTATTTTCAGGAGGACAGTGATTCTGTATCTGTCCCTCTATAACAATATTTCTAGTTAATAAAGCCACCTCTCCTCTCTCATCTACTCTGTCTACTATCTCCCCCCAGTGCATGAATTTACTATCCACTGCAATAATATATCAATTAACATACATCAATTATTATGTTTTACGGCCACATGGAAATGATGTCGTTTAGGTACACATTCCTTATAGTCATAATAGAGGTCGCAATTTCCTTGCTAACCTTGATGGTATAAGTCCAACGTGAACACATACGATGCACAAATGGCAGTATATTAAGAACAACTTTTATTTTCAAGTCTAACCAAGAGGCGTATATTAATATTCACGGATGTGCTACTTCGAGCATGTTGTTATTGAATTCATGGAATGCTCCGATAGATAACTTACTTTCAACCGTGATTTGATTATGAAGACAATGTGGACATTCTACAATAATAGCTTCTTCTGTTTGTTGCCAGTCAAAATCAGTTGATGTTAATACTATTTTATCACCTGAAAAATCAGATTATTAATGGCATAACGGAATTGATACACAATACACCTCGCATTAAACATTATAAGCTATGTTTAATTTCAGGAAAAGCAGTTGATAAACCCAGGAATCAGATGTTCCCAGATGATCTGTCTTGCCTAACACGAATGAATATGGCGGAAATAAAATTTTCTGTGCTCAAAAAATCCTTCAAGGTAATGCTTGTGGATCGTGAGGTATTTGCAAATAAAATTTACGTCACACTGTAGTATTTTACGGTGGAAGTCATACCAAACGCGTTAACATTCTTAGAATGATAGTGCAGCAACCCAATGGTTCACAAACCGATTAATTTCATTTTAATTTCACGTGGAAGAGAACTAGACACTTACCAACATTCCAAGATGAAACATCGTCCAAAAGATCTAGTACAGGGTATGCACCATACAGAGTTGCTACTCGAAGATCAACTTTACTCTTTCTCTCGTCTTGATTGTCAATAAAACTTTCCATGATAATCTTCATACCATAGTGATAGAAGGTGAGGTCAGATCGAGCATATTGAGTATAGGTTCCATGATTAGGTGAAACATCTTCATTAAACATTACTGCTCCTGAAAGGTATGATAACCATACAAATGATTTCTTGCCTATGATTGGGCCCGGATACACCATATATACGTTTGTTATGAAATGAAACGAATGGAATTTTGCGTCCTACTTTTCGGCACCATGTGGTCTAAAGAAAGCGGTATTTTGAATTAGATGGTGCATTTTCTTCAATTCAAAATGTTCATTTATGACATAAAATATAATATAACGATATTGGTTTTACGGTATCTCCAAATCTGATAATAATAGATAAAAATAAAGATAGAAAGAGGTTTTCTGAAAATTAGTAGGTTCGACATCGCTTATTGTAGTGGAGATCAAATTAAATAGAGTTCGAGTATTCAAAGCTTCTGGTAGCAGTAAGCATCACGCGTCAAAAGGGCTATAACAGTTCTTCTGGGAACAATTCAAATGATACATTGCTCTTCCGTGAATGGTAATTACCTTTCTGTGCGACTAGTGTATAAGCATCATATGAACCAAGTTGTCTGATCTGCGATAGACCGTTTACCATTCCATACATAACATATTCCAGAGCATCATACAGTGGTACAAGAGCTATTGACAAATCTACAGCATTTTTATTGACAGCCAGTGTCAATATTTTACCATCTTCTAAATCTGTAGAATAATGATTGTATATGGTATGTATTATCACCAAGAGTCTAGCCCCACCAGGTCCTCCGACAAATATTCTCTTAGCATACCCTTTCTGAGCTTAATTATCTGGAATAAGCATCCTGTTTCCAAAAAAAGGAGTGATCTTTAATTCAATATAAATACTAATGTTTGGTTTTGGTATCTTTAGCTGCAGTAAAAGTCCTTTTTAGATACACTTTCCCCATTCTTTAATTCAATCGTTAAGACTATCGTTGGTTTTGTCTTTTAATTGCAAGAACGAACAGCATATTATTTACGCTTCCAATCATAAGTGATGGGATTGTGATGTTCCCTAGTATAAGTTGCTTTGCTTTCTACCATGTTAAATACTTACTATATAAAACATCTAGAAGCTCTGGTAAATGCTCTGTAGATTGGTATATATCTGATCCACCTAAATGATAATATTTACCAAACTCAGGATGTCCGGTATGCTCATCTAATATATACACTAACAATCCTGGCTTGCAGCTGTCCTCTTTAGCTACATCCGAATTCTAAAATGGAAACGCCATATTTTGATTGACAAATATTTGAAGCTGGATTTGAGCTTTACTATTCCCCGAGAAGTTAACTTATTTGACCTGTTAGGTTGCGCAATTTCACTGAGTTTGTGATCAAATTGCCAGTTTCTCCATTGTACTAGACTGTAATAATATCGCTTCATATTTTCTCTTATTTTGGTATCGGTATAACCGGTTGTCTATCAAGAATCAAAAATAATTTATACGTTACCATGTGGCTGTATATCAACCCATTATGATAATCTAATTTAGGAATAGTTCGGACCAGTTTAGTCCAAGAAAGTTTCTGATCACCATGAAGTTCAAGAGTTCCACCAGGAGCTACACCAATAAACTTCTCACCAAAATCATGTTCCCCAACAAATATTGGTTCATAATCTCCTCGTATACCTTAAATATATACAACTAAATTACTTCACGAAATTGGTTTAGGTTATCAACAATTCCATGTTGGTGATGTTGGTTATGTCCCTTTAATGTGAAAAAATAACACCGAGCAGGACTACAATTACTTGCCAAATTAGTAATAAGAAACGCATTTCTGCTGGGAATATCGATGGGTAAAGGAAGTTGAATACTTGCATACCCTAACCTAACACATATAAAAGTTGTTGGAGACTTGCTCTGATGGGGTGTCATTTGTTTGTTACATGACTATATGTTTGACCAATATCTAAGTTGTCAATAATGGAATAAAATGACGTTTTATGGTGGTGTCAGTTGTCATTTTAGTATTGATACACGAATCTCCAATTTGCAATGAGTCTACACGTTGAGTATTTGTATGCTTTCATCAAAAACACATATAAGTTATTGGACCCTTTAGTGGCAAGATCTATGTTTTCATTGCATCATTCGCTAATGTCTCGTATGAAGAGGAAGGTCGTTGGTAAGATCAACTATGAGATAATCTGTTCTCTACTTAGAGTGAGTGAACGTCTCTCCAATTCTAGTTGAGATTTATAAAGAACTTTACCTGTCAAAATAATCTTAGCCTTCCTGGTATATTTACAGTCTTCAGACCCTATATCCATTCTACCATGTATAAGTATAAAATCTACATACATAGTATAATCATCTTCACAGCTCCAGACCAGCCGACCTCCTGGTTGTATGACGATACTGTGTAATTTCGGAGGACTCTCGTCCATTAGTATAGCAGAATCAATATATACTTCAGAATTGTGTCCTGGTTTCTGGCAATTAAGAGGCACAAATCATTGAAATTGAATAATAATTTTTACATCATACTGACAAATTCTTAATTGATATAGGCTTCGTTTATTGAAACTCCTGTTACTGCTGAAATGTCACCTAGAATTTCTTTAGTGTGGTTAACGCTATATACATTTAGAAACATATCATTTATTTATTGACTTTATTGACGTGATATTTATGATTACATGACTCCTACAGAATCAAGATTTAATGCCAAAAAAGTCTAGTGAATTATTTAAGATATAACTAATGTTGTTTACTTTAATTGTGCTTCAACCACAATCAACTAAAGTTTTAAAGAAACATGATAGTTATCATCTACTTCATTTCTATCATTTTCAAATCGAATTATTATCATAACTTACCATATTGTTAGGCCACGTTGTTGGATCTGACCATCTTATTAATCCCTCTATTTGATCTGGGCACATTGTAAACACTGTCGATATGGAACTCCAAGCCAGGATGAGCAGAATATGAAACGTTATTGAACACATGATTGAATATACTATTTTTTAATAATCAATCTGGTCGGTTCAGACACTGTAACTACATACCACCATCATATAATTACTAATTACTGTATACTGGATGTTAAAAAATAAATAGATATATGCCGACTTGAAAAAGTAAGTATTTGAAAATGCTAATTTCACTGTTGAATTTGTGACTTGATGTGTTATTTTTGTCTAATTACAACTTTCTTTCGATGAAACAAAACTGGAAATAGAATTGTCAAATTGAATAATTACAAATAAACAGATTTAAAATATCGAAAATGTCTTGAATTGATGACAAGGCGTTTAGAAGTTCACTTCGTCCATTTATTAGCTATATATTATATATAAAGGTATAAATGGTCATTTAACCAGATACCCTACCCCGTCTGTCTTCCCGTATTTTACGTCTAAGAGTGTAATTATTGATGTGGACTCCATGGGCATAATTCTCTGACAGAGACACCATCATCACGGTGTAGTAGTTTCTCCGTAAGATACAAAAGGTGGCATAAAAACTTTTGCCAACTGGAAGCAATGCAGAACCCTCAAGAGATACTGACAGGAGTATCCGCCTGCAACTATTATCATTCTGAAAAAAAACCTACAGCAGTAAAGATGTATGACTATTATCTATTTACAAACAACACTTACACATCAGCAAACAAAAGAACATGTTGACAGAAGTGATTTTAACTTTTATATGAGATGTTACGTCATTCAGAAAAAGACCATGGACTGGATTAGTGTGGCAAAGGTTAAGAAGTATATAATACCTTTACCACTCAGCCTACTTTCTAAAGGGATGCAGTGTGTCAACAAATAAAATTTCTCCTTCTTAAAGATGTTCGTATGTTCCCTTTCAAGATGTGCTATGATTTCTAGTTTTTTTGGGTACTTTTAACCGTAAGTGCACTGGTACTAGGTAGAAGTAATATTATGTGACGTAAGGAAACAGCTTACGTTCTGCTTTCCGAACATCGCAGTCATAGCGAATTCTTGTCGGACAATTGCGCTAATTGCTATTGTGTCATTTTCGGGCGAGATTCTTTGCATTTGTCAAAATAGGACCAAGTCAGTAAAAAGTGAAATAAAAATATGCTTTATGTTAGATTGTAGTAAGGGGATGTATAACTTGACTTTAAGAAGTTAGTGCAAGTTAGTGAAAGTTACAAGAAACTTCATTAATAAGATTATTTATAATAACATGGTGCAGGTTGCACAGTCTTCTTTCTTAACAGCTATTATCTTAAAATGATTGACCGTGTCATAAAATAAGCTACTCAATACATGACTGCCGCACGTTTTACCACTTATATAATAGAGCAAAATTTAAACAATTACGTTATAATCAATGGGCCAATATTTGAAATATACTCCATTCATTATATATTCATTTGACAATAGCAGTAAGAAATTATTTTTCAAGAATATGAGAGTGTTCAGGCTTTACATCATCTGTAACTGATCAAATATATTGATGTAAAGTCTTCTTCGAAAATATATGTAAATTCAATGCATTGTGTAAGCAAAACCTGCCTTGTGCACTACCCGCTCTTCCTGGCAATCCTTTTTCAATTTTATTATCTAATCCTTAAGCGACATTACAATCTTATTATCTGAGAGGGTTTAATGCGTCATATACATGCTACAGCAAATAACCGAGTCACTTTGCATAGCAGCCTTATATTTGGCAAGGTACTTTCTTTAATTCTATTGCTTAAATGGGGATGGTCTCCCTTGTCACAGATGTATGAACTCTATACATTTAATATATGTATGCACTGAAACAATATAAAGTTTATAAACAAAGAGTAGTTTGGTGCATATAGGTAAACTATGAAGATTAGAGGGACATTCAACGTTGGTACAACAGTATCAATGTCGATGTACTTTAGTAACATTGTTATCTTATGTTGGTAAATAGATGCATTAAGCCACTTTTGATGATGGTATGAATCTAGATCGATTACAAAGAACGAACTTTTGAGACCCCATGTGCTACTCGTGATGATTAATGACAGGCTCATGTCTCTGTTTATGCAATATTTCTCTTATAGCGACATTTCCCATCACATTCACCCTATCCGGAGCAGGAAAATATGACATAACACTCCGTTTCAATCAATACTTTGTTTTTTTTTTCATTGAAGGAATGGCCTGGGGTGTGGATGAGTTCATCACAGCAGTTACACGACTTAAACTAGATTTGTTTCATATTGATACCACACGATTCCTTATAGACCCGCAAGTAGTATATGTCTTTTCGGATATGACGCATTTCACTTCTGCACATGCGCAGCTTTTTTCAATGCATCATATCCGAAAAGACACAACTGCTAAAATGTATTATAACAGACTCCCCAAACTGTATTATAACAGACTCCATATAAATTACCCAAACCACAGACAAGAATCACTAAAAATAATACAGTATAAAATAACCGCATTAAAAATGTCTTTAATTTTAAAACACGAACAAAAAAAATTCGAAGGAGACGGTTTCTTCTCTGCGCTTACATCTCTCATCCCCAAAGTGGCCAATTTTGTCTCAAACAACAAATCCCTCATTTCCTCAGAAGCGCAAGCTCTTGGATCTGTGGCAAAAGCAGGAGTAAATATAAGCGATGCAGTGAAAAAATCTGACGAAATTAAAGAACTGCAGTTAATAAGAGAACTAAGAAACAAGAGACTAGAACGACAAGCCCTAGAAAAACAAGGAAAAGGGTTTAAAATCATTGGATAAAGATGGCAAGCAAAAATAACGATTCAATATTCGTTCAACAAGAAGAAAGAGGATTACGTACTCATCTCACCATCGGTAGGGACAAAGACCCAAATAAACGACGGAGGAAGAGTTACCTTTGAAATTAATTCGTTGTCCAATTGGTTGCTGCTTTCCGATGCCCATTTCCGATGCGATTTCAAAATCAAAGACGCCGCTCAGAATCGAATTCCACAAACCAACACGACTTTAGAAAACAACTTCTTTCCGTCTTTATTCAGCGAAATGGTTTTGGAAGCTGGTTCAAATCCGATAGAGACCATAAAACACCCCGGCGAGTTTGACACAATGTTGAAAACGGTTCTGTATCCCAAAAACTACGATTCAGTTTCGGGATAGATTCCCGATGTCGGTGACGGAGAAGTTTTAAAAGAACCGGTCAGAACTGTAGCAAATGACGCAGACCTTGCTAGGATAAGGGTAGTTGCTAGAAACACACTGGAAAGAGTGACTCGCGGAGTAAATCACGGATTTGAAAAACGAGCGCTTCAATACAACAACGTTGTCGAGAACAACAGATAGGGTAATTACGTTAGTTGGAAGTTGTATCCTTTATTTGGTCTCTTGGAACACAGAAAGGTTTCCATTGGTTTACCGTATAAAATTCGTTTGCAAAGAGAAATCAACGACAACAAGATATTCTTTGGTGAAAACAACTCTGACGCTAAATTGGAAATAACGAATATCCAACTTTACATACCGGTAATCACTCCTTCCGTAGAAGTGGAAACGAGAATATTCAAATC